TGAGGGTAGGGATGTCTCCTGGTGGGGAGTGTGAGGATAGGGCTCCCCTGGTAAAGAGTGTGAGAGAGCATGCCCCGTAAGGATCAGACCGCCCACAAAGCCTTACTCCCCGCCCACCAACACACCCACACTCATATTACACTGCAAACTTGAATTTCTAGTGCTTAATATATCTATTTATGTATTTTTCCATCATGCTAAATTGTCAAGTCTAGTGATCAACAGTGCTTTTACTGTCTTATGTTACTGATGCTAATAGTATTGTACACTCCTTGGTTACTACCACACTCCCATGGTAGGTCCTTAATATTTGGTACATGAAAGGAAACTGGTAAGTTTGGAAGATCAAATATCTTACTAGGAAATACTGCCTAGCCTACTTCATGGGTGAGCGGTGGTTGACTCATGGGAGGAGGCTCGTATCCTAGCTGAACTGGTGAGGTGGTTGAAAAACTCGGCCACCCCTCCTCTATACCGTAGTTGAGGGATCTTCACCAGAAACTCGCAGTTATGACGACGTTTCGGTTGTCCTGGACCATTATGAAATCATAACTTGACAATGGTTCATGACTAACGGAAACGTCATCATAAGGTTCCTCTCCAAAGTGCGGGTTTCCCGTGAACTGTTCCAGCCACGGTATTGTTACTTGTATTCTTGAGGGATTTTGCTCCGTCATTAGTTTTCAGAATTACCGTAGTGCATTCTCCATGGGAAACTGGAACAGAATTCTTCCTCCGTAAGCCATGCGTGTCGTAAGAGGAGTCTAAAATGCCGGGAGCAAGGGGCTAGTGACACCTGTATGAATTACTAAATTAAAAAAAAAAAAAAAAACTTAAGTTTTTCCTTTTAGGTCACCTTGCCTCGGTGATACGGCCGGTTCGTTGAAAAACAAAATTCTAGGCTCTCCGGCGGTTGAAGACCGCCGGAGAACAGTAGAGTCTAAGAACGAGAGTTACGCGTAATGGTTCTTGGCGGTTTAATTTTTTTTTATTTAGAAGTGTCAAGACGTGGAAGCTATGGCACCATGGGAACACAACAAAGTGTCCTGGGGTAGTGTTCTTAAGTTTTCCCGGCGAGGGTCCAGCGATATTACGCTTTATATTCTATAATCACTTCACCTCTCATCGGCAATTACTGTTTAAATTGATTCACCTGCTGAAGAGGTCTAAAATTAATGATTAGCGTTTCATTTTTCGAAATTCCAGAATATTGAATTACCGCTCTGGTGTAATTGAGAAGACTGCTTGCCATTAACTACACCTGAGGTCGTTCGTCTATGACTGATTCCAGTTAACGGTAAATGATGGTTTAATTAACCCAGGCTACTCCCTGAAAAATAGAAACCATATGAGAGGTACCCTTGTGCAGTGAGTCTCACTGGATCCTCTATATTGGAAATAATTTGAGCCTTGTCGGCGTCTCTCCCTGTGGTATTACGCGATATTACAGCATCTACCTCCTTCCAATGTCATTTCTTCTTCACTTGTATGGTTTTAATTGGTCAAATGGACAGCAATGTATGGTTCTTGCTATCCCCTAAACTTTTCAAGGGATATTGCAAGACAGACAATTACTCCATCAACAGACTTCCTGGAGCGGTTGACTAGTAATATCGTTACTTGCCTCTGTACTGTAGCAGGTATTGGTTTTAATTTGGAAAAAAAAAATATTTCAATGTAGATTCAGCTTTCTCCACACTTCCATTTTTGACTGCGGAGGGGGAGGGCAGGGGGGAAGAGACAACTAGGTTAACCTGATATTGTCAGTTGAAGGAAGTTAGTTCCTGCTTGTCCTCACATGAGGTGTCATGATCTCGGTATGTTTTTAGTCACACTATTGGTTTTAATCATTTTTTTTTTCTTATTTTTTAGCTTGTTTACTATATGTACTTGTTCTTTGTTCTTTATTCAGTAATGTAATTTGTGCAGATCCTGATGATGGTGCATGATCAGCGAAACGTTGAACTGTTAAATAAACATTTTAGAAGACAGAGCCTTGTATGTCACCTTATGCATTATGTGGAGTTTTACATATCCATACACACATATAAATAAGCATATATACATACATACACACGTAAATATAGTGCTTTTTAATCAGCGTCCGCTATCTTAGCTTATAAAGCAGTAATCGTCATTGTGACCAAGTAGCAAACATTCATTTTGCAAGAGCTCCGCTAAAATCATTCTAAGCACCACGAAACAACTGTACATCTTCAATGTTACTAGAGATACCTAGGCTGACATAAGATAACTTTGGTAGGATTCATTTAAATTGTATTGCATTAATTTTATCGAAGGATTAGGCGAGGTTACTAAGTTAACTTTGAAAAATTAACCATTTTCATAACATTAATTTACAAAATTGTATCACTCAGTTCATAGGACAAAACATTCATTGGGGAGTTTTGTTTTTTGACCTGTTTTGTTTAAAAAATACACCTCCACACCTCCCCCCCCCCACACACACACACGCATACATTAATCCAGGAGCCGGCCAACGTGACTCGTTACTCTTATGAATGAAGCTGGACATGACAGTGCTGAAACTAGGATGGCGGGAGGGGGGGGGGGGGTTCCTCACACTCTTACGTGATACAGACGAGTGTGTGCGCATGCGTCTGTACATCAGTACGTGTGCACTCTCTTAGCTTTCTTGGCTGCTGAGAAGAGACCTCTCACAACACCCACTTTTAGTCTGCCTTGACTAACATTTACTGGATTCTGACCTTCTTGTCCTGTCATACCTACCCTTGAAGCTGTGAATGTAGTTTGTCTTCACCTCTTCCTCATCTTGCTAATTGCCCTACTCTATTATCTTGAGATAAAATTAATATTTTCAATATCTTTAGGCTCAACTAAGTCTTTACTCTCACTCGTGATCTTAGGTCAGGTCTCCGGCAGTCTCTGTTTGCCTTACTGAATCCTATATTAGGATTTAACATGTTATTACGTTATCCCTCACCGCCACTCCTCCAGTGTTGTCAGTTTCAATTAATTCTCTTCACATATTGAATTCCTCTCAGCATTGGGATAAGATTTGTTTCAAACCTTTAAACCTTCTCTAGTCTCTGAACATACTGGATCAGGTTATGACTCCATCTTGGAACTATATATTCTATAATAGGTCGGACACTTGTGCACAGTGACCTAAATTATTCCTTACTGAGGGCTATCTCTTTCCTTTTTCCATTTCACCTGATTGGCATGCCTTTTTTTTTTTTGTCAAGCCCGGCTTTTCCATTTTCAGTCTCATTGTGTTTTATTTAGGAAGCCTCTCATTCCTCTATAATGTCTTCCGTAGTCCTGTTTTCCGCTCATGTCTTCCTCTCTTTCCTGCCCTAATCCTATGAGCAATTCACTTAGGGTAAAGATCGGATCCAAATGTGCTGGTTTATCCGCTCAGTTTCTTGTAATTGTATATGCTGGCTCAAAAGTTTTCTATTGCACTGTCCTTCAGTCCTGTGTGTGGGAATGTGCCTGAGCGTGCGTGCTTATCTGTACACGCGTGCTTTTAACTGCATAACTGACCAACATATATTTTTTATCTGTATGATGATACTTCACTTTACGTAGCTGCTTCTGCATGGATGACAGGATGAGGTGAGGGAGAAATGGATATGTGGGATTAGCATGAGGGAGCAGACTGAGAGATCGTGGGGAGGGTGTTTTTGGGGGTGAAGATTGAGGAGTGTGAGGGAGGGTATAGTGAAGTGGGTGGGAGTTTAGTGGGGGTGTGAGTAAGGGATGGGGAGAATAAATCAGTCAGCATTAAACGAGGGATTTAGAAATGCGTTTTGAAGAGCAGTCTGGTAAACACTCAAGAGGCATTCAGACAGGTACTCAGGTTGGTACTTAGGTAATCAAATAGCAGGCAGGCACTCAGGTTGGCACTAAAGCTGGCAATCAGGTAGCAGGCAGGCACTCAAGTTGGTACGAAAACTGGTAATCAGGTAATAGGCAGGCACTCTGGCAGTCAGGCAGGGATTCTTAATATGTGGCCCCTTTCCCTGGTATGTTTAAATTTCCTGGACTCCATTAGGCATCCTAGAGGACGTGACTCAGGCATCCTAGAGGACTTGACTCAGGCATCCTAGAGGACTTGACTCAGGCATCCTAGAGGACTTGACTCAGGCATCCTAGAGGACTTGACTCAGGCATCCTAGAGGACCTGACTCAGGCATCCTAGAGGACCTGGCTCAGGCATCCTAGAGGACCTGACTTTCAGGTGTCCTAGAGGACCTGGACTCTTTCAGGCATCCTAGAGGAACTGAACTCTTTCAGGCATCCTAGAGGATCTGAATTTTTCAGGTATCGTAGAGAACCTGGACTCTCAGGTATCGTAGAGAACCTGGACTCTTTCAGGCATCCTAGAGGACCTGACTTTCAGGCATCCTAGAGGACCTGGACTCTTTCAGGCATCCTAAAGGACCTGAACTCTTTCAGGCATCCTAGAGGATCTGAATTTTTCAGGTATCCTAGAGGACCTGGACTCTTTCAGGTATCCTAGAGGACCTGGACTCTTTCAGTTATCCTAAAGGACCTGGACTCACAAGTGTCCTTCAGTTATCCTACAAGTCCTAAACTCGCTCCTTCAGGTATCCTACAGATCCTAAACACTCCTTCGGGTATCCTACAGTGCCTAGACTCCTTCAGATTCCCTACAAATTCTGGGGTCTCTGTGGAGGGAAGAAAAGGAATGATTCCCGTGCAGTTTTAACACTAGAATAACACTGCAAGACAAGCTAACGTGGGATGGAAATCTTCAGCTCTAGAGTTCCATCCCCTGTGACCTGTCTTACATTATTAAGATCGCCTGTCTGCCATTGTATTACATTGTAAACTAAATGATCTATGATGAAGTAACTAGGTAACTTGCACTTAAATAGAATTTGTAATTATGATTAGTGTTAATAGTAACGTTCATTTTATTAGTGGTGTTGTAATGATATTGTTTTTACCACTATATTATTGTAATTATTATTATTAAATGTTGTCAGGATGTGTGGTAGGAGCGTGTAATGGGCACCTGGTGACCAACCTGGTGAACAATGCTGCCCTGCCCACTTGCCCCGCCCTCCTGCACGCCGCCACCCATCCACCCAGGTTCTCTGCGCCCATGCCCCCTGACCTACGTGGCAAGTGGCTCTCAACCAGGTCAGTCATTACCTCTTCATTTTACTCGGGGGTCATCGACCCCCATGCCTGATTTAACACCTGGCCTCCTGGTTGATGATATAAACACAAGCAGTTAAATTCCTATTTTTAAGGAATAAAATCATCTGGATGATAGTGTGCCGGGAATTTTTTTTTAATTACCCTTTTGCAATCAAAATGCTTTTAAATTTTACAAAGTATTTGTTGTACATCAGTTACAATGGTATCAAAAGCTAAACGTGGTGTGCAAAGGTAATGAGAGGTCTACAAAGGTAGTCAGACGTTTACAGCGGTAATCAGACAAACCTCTGTTCCAAAAGTCTGTTTATGGAAAACTTTAAATTGGAGCTGACATTAAGTCGAGTATATGAATAGCAGTGCTATATGACCCTTGTGGGTTTAGCGTTTAGTTTTGATTGTAATATGAATAGCTATGTTTTCCAGACTATAAACATGCACAATATTAGTGTCAAATTGTTCTGGTGGCATTTTATGGCACATCTTGTGTGTCAAGCCAGCTGAGGGTATGATTTGTAAGATGTTATTAGTGTCGAGTAGTTGTGGTGGCAATAGATGTATGGCATGTCTTGTGACCAGTGAGCAACCCACATCAGTGCTTAAAACCAACACATCAACGAACTCACAGGCACCATCACGTAAGTGCTGAAACGAGCACTTAAGCCTAGTTACAGTAGCATCAGCACCACACCCATGATCAGACCATCTCACCATCACCAACACAATCACCGTCACCAAAACAACGACACTTTATCTCCCAACGTCACAGTTATCAAATCAAACTACAAAGAGTCGTTCTATACTCTTATTGAGCAAGAGGACACACTCCACAGAACCCAAACTGAATGATGACACTCCAAAGGACCCGCACTGAGTGATGACAAAGTACCATACAGCAGGAACGGCTCACCCAGATTTTTTTATTATCTTTCCATCATTGTTATTGTGGTTGTTTATTCATCAGGCAGAAATTACCCGACTATGAATCTTTGTTACAGGATAGAAGGTTGGCTGGTGACGACACTGTGGCCAAGGAAGGGCAGGGAACAAAATCTAAAGACGCTCTTAAAAGTAACGTAGCCATTAGCTATGACCGCTGACTTACCACTACTGGACTACGACCTCTGACTTACCGTTTATCCACTAAATAGATTGATTGGCACGAGGAAGGCAGGGAGAGAACTAGTATAATAAAGGGGGTGTAAACAGTGACTAACCTATATAGAGTTGATATCACTCACCTCACTGCTACCGTCTCTCAGCTGCCTCATTGGTCTGATCCTAAATGTTACTTCCTCCTTGAAGGGAGCACAGACAGCCTTTCTCTTGTTTCTCTTTCTCCTCAAGCACCAGGCCCTTCCCTTTATCCACTCATCCAATCCTGCTACACCAGTGACTCGAAATTTTTCGTTGGTGAACTTGTGACACTCGTGGCAGGTGTTGAGCAGAGTGATCACCTCGCCTGTCTCCTGTACCTTGTCATTAAGTCACAGGGAAGCTGTATAGAGAGCACTAAAGCTGGTTCATGGACGATGCCACGCTAGCTGACACTGCAGATTGTTTACATAGGATATCAAGAAATTCAAAACATTGAGAGGACTTAGATTTCCAAACTCCTCAAAATGTGAATTGTCTTTTTGATCAAGTGATAGCTGCCGTGCCAAGGGTGTCAATATTTATCAACTGGCCTCTCCTCGGTGCTCCATTTGGGTCTGTAAGCGCCCTACTATTCTGTATCCTCCACCAGCCCCAGGGTAGATACGGTATCCTTCAACAATACTAGAAAAAGTCCTAAACCATTCTCTGGCTGACTCACAGTAGGTGCAAAACAAGCGTCCCGCAGACTGATGCACTCTACATACAGTACCAGACTTCCTTGCCAGCCTTCTTATCCGTCTCCACGGCATAAAATGAACTTAAGATTCTAGCAGAACGTGAAGGTAACTTATGGGAAGTGTGCGACTCCCAGCTTCACTAATGGTACCAATCTGTGAGATGCTCTCACAGCTGCAATAAAAGTAGTCTGTGGGATACTATCACAGACCGGCTGCAAGTGTCCCAGGTTTTACCAAAGACGTGGGTGTTTTAGGCTTAAGAAAATTTTTGGAGACCCATAAAGCTACCGGCTTCTTTTTCCAGCACCAGTTTGGCCTTCTAGGAGCAACACCTAGGTATCTTTATTGATGAAGATGCCCAGGTGTTGCAAATGTGTCTTATTCAACATATTGTCTATGCTGTATACCACTAATCCATTAATTAATTAATTCATGTAATAATTATCCATTATTTTTTTCATTGACTGATAAATTATATTTGTGTAGTCAAATGTGTAATTACGATGTTTTGCACAGAAGGTAGCTGGCGTGTAGGCAGTCCACCTTGTCTGTCAGACGTGAAGTATGCTGAATCGGTAGCATGCAGGTTATATAGACACATAGACTAGAGCGTAGTTCATTAGCTATGGGGTCCATCAGGCAGACGCAAATGAGGTAGCCAGAGCCAAGATCCTTGGGAAGAGCTTGATGGTCCTAAGGGCAGCTGGGCAGTGAGTGAGGGCGAGCACTGGCCACGAGGACAGACCTAGGTGCCAGCCTCCCCTGGCGGCCTGGCTGGCACTCTCGGAAACTGGCCGTAGGGTTAGGTACGGTTCGTCAGGAAACAGGACAAGTGTTTCCTGACGCGGGTCTTAGTCATATGATGATGACCCGCCGTTGGAGCTTTTGGCTTACCGGCCCACCCCCTTTAAAAATTATATTCATAATCATAAACATTTGTCACTGGCCGTAGGCTAGCAATTCCCCCTACGGGAATAGGCATACTGTCTACAAATGACGTATACACTCGATAAAGCCACTTGGACAGAAAAGGGAAACACAGGGAAAAGAGATGTATATAGATGCCATTGAATCAGGGAGCCTTCAGCAGATAACCCAGGCAGCAATATACATATATCTTGACCTGTACTTCAATTTTGTAAGTGCTTTTTTCCTTTTAATCGATCAGTGTGTACTCACCTGTTTGTGGTTGCAGGGGTTGATTCACAGCTCGTGTGTGTGTGTGTGTGTGTGTGTGTGGTGTGTGTGTGTGTGTGTGTGTGTGTGTGTGTGTGTGTGTGTGTGTGTGTGTGTGTGTCTGTGTCTGTGTAGACAGATTCATAAAGATTATCTCATGTTCATTCTCTCAGTGCTCTCACATAGCGTGGAGAAACCAAATAAAATATAAAATGTATATTGGCTAGGAACTCAGGTTGCCGGAACTGAGTTTTTCTATATAAACAAAAACTCCAGAATGACTTCAAAATGGTCAGGTATGGCGGATGAGCAGGTGTGGGAGGGGCTAATTTATGGTCATGTTCACCACGCAACAGCACCTATCTTCGGTACTTAATTACCCTGGGAGGCTGTAACAAGGGACAATTATCTGTCAGGATGGTGTACTGGTGAGTGGGCGAGGCGCACCCACACACTACCTCCGCGTCATGCTTCTTATGTTTATTAGTGGCTTAATTGGTCGGTGTGGTTAAGCAATAACACGGTGATTACGGGAAGGTAAGTTAATGACCAGGTGTGTAGGTGGGATGTCTAGTGGGGATAGTGGGAGAACAAGCCGTCACTGATTCTACTATCATCACTAACACTGCTACTATCATCACTATTACCACCAGTACTACTACAACCACCACTGTATGTAACACTACACTGGTAGACAGGCAGCAGTCAGGTCCGGCTGTCAGGAACCAAATATTTGCAGAGGTTTTTCACAAACCCTTCACACGGAGGTGTGACCTCCACCTCCATCACCATCCACCACTTACTGGCAGGGTCTTACCTGTCATGCAGCTGTGGCCCCCACCACTTACTGGCAGGGTCTTACCTGTCATGCAGCTGTGGCCTCCACCACTTACTGGCAGGGTCTTACCCGTCATGCAGGTGCGGCCTCCACCACGTACTGGCAGGGTCTTACCTGTCATGCAGCTGTGGCCTCCACTTACTGGCAGGGTCTTACCTGTCATGCAGCTGAGGCCTCCACCACTTACTGGCAGGGTCTTACCTGTCATGCAGCTGTGGCCTCCACTTACTGGCAGGGTCTTACCTGTCATGCAGCTGTGGCCTCCACCACTTACTGGCAGGGCCTTACCTGTCATGCAGCTGTAGTCCCCACTACTTACTGGCAGGGTCTTACCTATCATGCAGCTGTGGTCTCCACCACTTACAGGCAGGGTCTTACCTATCATGCAGCTGTGGTCTCCACCACTTACTGGCAGGGTCTTACCTATCATGCAGCTGTGGTCTCCATTTACTGGCAGGGTCTTACCTATCATGCAGCTGTGGTCTCCGCATACTGGCAGGGTCTTACCTATCATGCAGCTGTGGTCTCCACCACTTACTGGCAGGGTCTTACCTATCATGCAGCTGTGGTCTCCACTTACTGGGAGGGTCTTACCTATTATGCAGCTGTGGCCTCCACCACTTACTGGCAGGGTCTTACCCGTCATGCAGGTGCGGCCTCCACCACTTACTGGCAGGGTCTTACCTGTCATGCAGCTGTGGCCTCCACTTACTGGCAGGGTCTTACCTGTCATGCAGCTGAGGCCTCCACCACTTACTGGCAGGGTCTTACCTGTCATGCAGCTGTGGCCTCCACTTACTGGCAGGGTCTTACCTGTCATGCAGCTGTGGCCTCCACCACTTACTGGCAGGGCCTTACCTGTCATGCAGCTGTAGTCCCCACTACTTACTGGCAGGGTCTTACCTATCATGCAGCTGTAGTCCCCACTACTTACTGGCAGGGTCTTACCTATCATGCAGCTGTGGTCTCACCACTTACAGGCAGGGTCTTACCTATCATGCAGCTGTGGTCTCCACCACTTACTGGCAGGGTCTTACCTATCATGCAGCTGTGGTCTCCATTTACTGGCAGGGTCTTACCTATCATGCAGCTGTGGTCTCCGCATACTGGCAGGGTCTTACCTATCA